TGGTGAACCACAATTAAATAAATCACACCACCAAAATGGGCATACTTTTTTCCTACCACTATGTTGTGGTTTTTTCATCATGTTCTTTCCAAACAAACTAAAAAGCTATTCTATAATAGAAGTGTTTTAGATCTAAAAGGGGTTTAGAATTCTGATATTATATTTGTATCTTTCAACTTACAAAGCACAGAACTTAATACACTTCAAACAGTACAGGCATCAGAAGGACTTTGATTCAGAAAAGCACTCGTCCTGATCTCACTGATGGGAAGCTGATGCTTATATATTTTCACTAAAATGAAGGTTATTCTTCTGAACAGGAGCCAGGGAAAGTAAACATAGCATATATAGAACTAAAATACCTTTTCTATAAATAATAATAATGCTATCTTTTAAAAATTCAGTGTCTCACACTCAAGAAGTGCTAGAAGTAAATGCTGCCTCCCAATGGAAACATAAAATTTGTTTCTCAATAATATAAATCAAAAGATTTCTAGTCCTATTGTTTTATGGGATGTTCAATCTTTAGTATACTTCTAGTAAGAACTGAACAATCATTCTGGATTTCACAATCAAATGGTTTGGTTTATAAACTTCACACCATTGGGCTCAAAATACACTTCTAGAGTAAGGAGGATGTCCTTTTCCTTTAAAAACAACCACTTGAAAACTGGTCAGGAACATGCAGAAGCAAAAGTGGAATAGTGGTAGAGTTCAAATGGCATCATGAAGTTCATGATAAATACAATTTATCTTATAATTCTTCAATTTACCATACAGCTGCACAACTCATAATTGCAATATCACTGTCACACTTGTGCTATCAACAGATACATCTGTCTGGTCACAGAGTCTGTGGCTGCATTAAGGATGTCTACTAGTGGCATTTATTTAGATCGTTGTTAGGTATCTGAGTAAAAATAAGAAATATACATTGTTTTATAGTTAGTGAAATATGTCACTAGCTTCTGTGTAACCTAGGAATGGATTTTTTTTTTTTGAAAACCCTCTTTCCAATTTCCACTGTAAGCAAGTTCTTACAGGCAGAGAACATTTATGAAAACTTTCAGAACAAAAAAATAATCTTCTGGGAAAGTTACAATAGATTCAAAATACATGTCTAGAATCTAAATGCTTTTTCAGCCTCGACAGAATAAATAATAAATGCTTTCTAGGTAACTACTGCAGTTCTTTTGATAATAAATATATTAATAAATTAAAAATGTCTGTAGATTGACAAGTGTTTTGTGGGCTTACACTGGAAAGCCGATAGCTAATTATGAAAGCCTGACTTGACTAATCAATTATTCAGATGAACATTAGGTACCTATTATATGCGTAAACAGGGGAATTATATTTCCCCTAAGTAACTTTCTAAAATAACAAACCCAAAACATGCAAATTTGAAATAGACAGAAATGGCGCTATTATGCACTTATTGCACATGCAGAACTCCAATTGAATTATTCAGGGAACAGTGAGTCGGGAGCTTCGGTCTTCTGACTCAGAGCAGCACAGCAATAGCAGCACATGCCATGTAGTATTTGTTATGCATGTAATATTGATTTAGCTCATTCTTGCTGGTCATGTTTCAAATTCATTTCATGTTTAGGAGATAGGGAAAAGGAGAAGTATCCCTGGATTGATATTTGCAAGATAGTTTTATGCCTGTTGAACATAAGATTATTTGATAAATTAATAAGACCATGTCTTTTAAGTGTAGGAAGACTAAGCCTTTGAAAAGGAGCATAAGTGAAGTAATGAGCTGTGTTTTGAAAAGGTTTATATTTGCTACATTCCCCATCTCCTGTACATAAAGATTGGGAGAGCGCTAGTATTACAGAACAGATTCACTGATGTTTCTTTAAGGAACAAAACACAGCAAGGTAATGCATAATTGTCCTTTGCATTTAGAAAAGACTGTGCTCTTAAACAGCATACAGCAACAGGGAAACCAGAAATAGATGTGACCAGACACCTGCTGACAAACAGTGACAAATCCCACTGACACTGCAGTGACCCCCAGTTAGTCAAGATTTAATTAAGGGGTATAATTAAGTCAGTGGAACAGAACACTAATGAGTGGTGTTTTTTTATATGGGTAATTACACATAAGAATACAAAGTAAGCTAGACCCCTACATATATCATTAAAATGAACAGTATAGAATGACAATCGGAGCTTCAAGTATTTTTTGTTCTTTCTCTTCAATAATGGCAGGTTGAAACACCACGGCTTGTCAAGCATCTGTACACATGCTAACAAATGCTATTGGCCCAGTCCTGCCTGTGTCTAAGCATGTTGGTAACATGACCTTGGTGGCACAATGCACATCAGTACGGCTCCATGTGAAGGGGTTTGCTGGGCTCTGTCTGTTGTTGTGTTTGCCTGCACTGGTGCCGTGCAGGGGTCGCTTGGGCTCATTTTCTAACAAATGACATTCTCTTGCCATTCTCTTTCAAGTAACACATCCTCTAGATTTCATTTATCAAGTGTGTTGATTACAAGGAAGACATAGGTTCCAAATTGTTCCTATGATTATCTGCACGTTGGGCACAATATACCTTTACAATCAAATGACAGAGATTTCTTACAGCAGTGGTATGTGATGGCAGATCCAGTTCTCTGGAATTTATTTTGGGAATCTTTAGGTAGTTGAGTGAAATAGCTGAAATATCTTTCTACGTGATATTTGCTTATATTTCAAACAGAAAAGTATTGTAAAGTAGATTTTCTAGACCAACATTTTAAACTGGGGTGGAACACATCATCATGAATAATGATGACAATGGTAGGGGAAAAACAACTTTCCTATGGTCTCGAAGATTTAAAAGAATGCCTGTGTAGTTTGGGGCCAGCCCTCTGCTGGGATTACTCTATCTGCTCCCAGCTGGTAGCCTGCAGTTCATGACAGCCTTTTATCCGTTATCAAAGCAACAAGTGGAAAAGCAGATCCTCCTGCCTGCTAACACTCTGTTCAGTTCTCTCTGCAGAATTTCTGCTCCTAAATCTTTCCTTTTAACAAGTCCTCAGATTTCCTTCCTACTGCTGCAGGAGATGCTAAATATCTCTCAAGTTTTTAGCTCACTTGTCTAACTAAAACTCTGCAGAACACTAAATGAAGAAACAGTAATTGCATTGCACCAGCACGTTTTCTACAGAAAGTGACTGAAATGCAGAATGCACCCGATCTTGCTTGCAGTGGAGTGCTGAGAGTTTAACAATTGACTTAAGTGATAGCAAAAGCAGATCTTAATTACTCAAACAACACTGTAAAAATATTTTACAACTTAAGTAAGTACAAATTTTACTGTAGCAAAACCAAAGCAAACAAACATATACTTACAACATATATACTGCACTTACTTTGCTTTTTTAGCAGCACAGGAAAAATAAAAAAGGTAGAACTAGGAGATATTTAAGCATAATTAATGTGAATTCTTTCAAGCAAAATCTATCTACTGAAACTGAAAAGTTATTTGTTATGAAATCTAAATGAATATAGTTTATGTAGTGAAAATATACACCCTACTTTCCTTAAATCATGCTGTCATGGAGTAATAGGTCTTAGAGACATAATCCTATAACAGTAACTACAATCAGGTAAAAATCAGGATAACAGCAATCTGTTATGCAGGCTATGCTAAACCATAATATATATTAAGGGGTTTGGGATTTTTTGTTAAACTCTTTGGTTTTTAAACAGATTTTCCTGCAATTTACAGCAGTTATGCAATGACAGAAGACGCCATAGGAATGCAGGACTTGCTCCCTCTGTGAACCGAGGCCTTTGCCACACCAGGCTCCTCCATACATGCCTAAGTGCCTCTTCCAGCCGGGCACAACAGACGGAACAGGTCCAGGTCCTGCTCGGGCTTTGCCCTGCCCGCAGTGTGGTCCTGTTGCATTCAGCAGAACCAGCTCTGGGTCCTCTGGGCTTTTGCTAGGACATGGGCAGCAATGTCTCATTTTCCCATGGTGCCTGAGGTAAGTGTTCTGGAGGAGGGCCTCAGTAAATGTAATTTTAAGATATGGAGTTACTATCATAGTTTTTTTGCCCAAGAGCTGGAGCACATGCCAAAACCCTAACAGAACTGTAATATAATAAAAGAAGAGAGGTCATAAAAATTATGTAAATCATTTCCCCGTTTTTATCTTTCTGCGGGTGTGTGCCGGTATAAAATATGGGGTCAGAAGGAGTGACTTCCTCCTGGGCTGCAGACACACGTCTGCATAATGGGTCCCTCACATCTTCTTGTGCCCCATTTTCGTCCTTGTGAAGCTGCCCCTTCCCAGCCGTGTATGAATGAACAGAAGTGCCTTTCATCCCCCACTTGCCTGGCGCTTCAAAAGGAACTACGAAAATAGCAGCAACAAAAATCCAGCCGCCTGCCAAAAGGCCCGCACACGTCCCATTCTCACAGGCATGCGAAAGGTTGGAGAGCTCAGCAAAATTTTTATGTACGGGAGCAGGCCCAAGGAAAACTCACACGCCATAACCAATTGTGGACAGAGGATCATCTATCAGCAGACAAATGCAGGAACTCCAGAATGTCTCTCCTCAAATGAAATAATATATCTTTGAAAGCCAATGCCCGTTTTAGGCCTGAGGCCCATATATCAAGCCTGAGAGGCTTGTGGATACGCTCCAGGGCCATTAACCTTCCACCTGTTTCCCCTTGTCCTTCAGGATGAGACCCTGCCCTTGATTTTACTCCCTTCCCCTGTTCATCTTCCGACAGAGTGTAAATGTAAAGCAGAGGGCCTGCGAAATAATTCAAAGGCAATGGACCAGGGACATGGTTACAAATCTCTGCCACTGGCACTGTGACTTATGCAGGCAGTTTGTCACACATGAGCCAGGTGACCTCTGTGACATAACAGAGAAAAATATCGCCCGAGATCAAAAGATGAGATTCAGAGCACTCTAACTAACTCTGGTGTACACAGCCACACTATAAGGTGGCCAAGGGTTTCCTCTCCTCCGAATGCTGCTCACTCCGCTCGCTGGCGGGCGGGACACAGTCCTGCTAATTTCAGTAACCTCTTTTTCTCTCATCTCTTTGGAAATCTTTCCTGTAACCTGCACATTAAAATTTGCCTCCTTCTGAAGCCTCTCTTTTTCAAAAAGGGTAATTAAATTGAGGAAGAGAGAAAGCAAAATGCCATTCAGTAGATAAAAATTAACACATAAAAAGCAGCATGATTGAAAATGGCAGATTAATCGATTTTGCAAATGAGTCTGTTTTAATCCACTAATTTTTGAAATTATAAGTAGTACTAAAACTTTGTATGAGCACGTGCTGTCTCTGGTATTGCAATGACAAGTCTTCAAAGTCTAAAACATTTATTGGAATTCAACTATCACAATGGCAAAAATAGGAGTAGAGTTAGTATTAAAAATGATGTAATGCACCCAGAAAACACACTTCTGTACTGATTCATATTTTACAAAGAGATATACTGCAGAACTAGAATAACAGTCACTTGAAATAAGCCTAATCAGACTGATTTTAAAAAAAAAAAGTCTTGAGTTCATTTTTCAAGCTGTGTGCTACAAAGGAAGTTTCCCAGCTGTTTTGTACATTCAAGACTCTTCTGGGTGCAGACAAAAGAATAAGGCCTAACCCAGTGTTTCTCTTTCACTCCCCATAACCAAACAGTATGTCTGGTATGGGCATTTAATTTTGTCTATTTCATAAATTAAAGAAAACCCACAACTGTCACAGTATTCCTGGCACGATGATGAAATGAGAAATACAACCGTAGCTAGATCAGCCTAAATCCCATTCTAATCCTAAATCACTTTGGCACTTGCCCACACTTAGTTGATGAAAAACTCAGTTTGACCCAAGAATGTATGTGAAAATACACATATACAGACACACAAAAATTCAGCACATTGCTTACATGTGTGCTAAATGTTACCTCATCAGCTATTTCATTCTGTCTCATCACATGCTGACATGTAAACACAGTAAATGCAAAATCAGTATTACAAAAACATTAGTGTGAAGTGTTACCACATGCATTTGTAAAAATAAGACAACTGTTTGATTTTACAGTGCTAGAATCATTTGTTCTTGTTCAGGCTTTGTGATTAAACATACCTTTTCCTCTTTTTAATATCTCTAAGGAAAGCCTGCTAGAGATACAACAGTCAGCGGCTGCATGTGAGTTTTGTCCCTGGTTTCAGTGAACTCCAAATCCCCAGTGTCTTCATTTTCGAAAATACCTAGTGTTACTTTTTCATGTAAATATAGGTGCTATATCCAAGGTTTTTGGCATTCAGATCTTTAGCTCTCTCTTTGACACTTCTACTGAATATATTAATTTGTGTTTAGGCTGGATATCATTTGGCTTTATACATCCTCTTTTTTCCCATATATTTGATGTATCCCTGAAAAAATTAATATTTAATTTACAAAGCACCTAACCCAATCCATTGCCTTTTACAGTAAGTATGATCTTGTGCTTCTGCTTTTGTAATATTCATGAAATTTGGAAATCAAGGCTAGGCATCATATGTTACTATCATATGCTAATAGAGGACTTTTCATTTGAGTGTTTGATCAGTTTTGAATGCCCAAATGGCATATTAGAATTTCCAAGGCATAAACTACTTTAGGATGTTATTATATGTATAAAAATACTATTATATGAATATAATAATTTTTAATTTTCATAGATACACACTCAAATATGCACAAAATTATTTGTCTCATTTACCTCTTGCCATGTGCTTTTTATGTAAATAGTTACTGAGCAAATATTTTACAAAATTAAAAGTTAAGGTACCCTGATTCTAAAGAAGAGAATTTGACTCTTGGTTTTAAAATGTCTTGTCTTGATGAAAAAAGCCTTAAATTAATTGGTTCACAGAGTATACAGATGCTACAACCCCAGTTAATTGTATTTTGAGTGCTTGTGCCTCCTCGATTCAGACATTTTAAACAAAGCAAAACAAAGAGTATTTAACATTAACAGTAATTTAACAAATAATAATTTGGAGCGTGAATCATTCCCTACATTCCTTTTCAGCTACAGACAATTTTTGTTGGGAAAAGTGCCATATAGTATCGACAGTGACAACAAATTGTATTGTCCGGTGAACATCTGTTTCCGACTCCCACACTGATACTGCAGGTTGGATACTTCTGATTTAGTCTTCACAGGCTGCCCGACCACAGAGGAACTGGAAATTACTGGTACATTCAACTTTTATTATTGGAACACAGGAAAACTTTATCATCATGCTGGGAAATTCTGTGTCTTTTGAAATATTGGAAGGAGGGTTATGTGAGCACAGAAAGCCAAATGCAATAGTTCTTAGGAAGAAGAAGAAAGGGGGCTTCTGTTCATCGTGTCTGTCTGTACATATGTGCATGAAAGTCTGAGATTAAAATCTCAAAATGGAACAGTATTTCTTCCCTGTACAAAATATCTCTGAAATTCAAAGCAGTTTCTACAGGGCAGAACAGACTGAGGTTCAGTATGAACTGCAGGTTCTAGCCCTAGAGAACTGAGCTAACTCATTTATTGCACCAAGTTACTATGACAGCAACTTACAGAGAAAGACTGTGTTAACTAGCTGAAATTTTTACTGTTAAAAATCAAAACCAATACTAAGCAGTCTTTTCACAACTGAGGGGAGTTCGTTAAAATGATCAATGTCATTTTTCTCATAGTTATGCCACCATTGTTATGCAGCCTGAAAAAAAAGTTTGAGTTCCATTTTGCCAGGGACAGAGCAGACAGGAAGATACATTCCTGATAGGTACCATGTACCAGTTTGATATAGCTCCAACTCCCAATCTGTAAACTGTTTTACAGAGAAAGAGGGAGAATGAGAAACTCCACTGAAACTCCTGTTAACACTAATTAGAGTTGTCAGCATGCAGCGGAATCAAAGGCAAAACATGTGGAGCTCTCAGTGAAGTCAAGAGGAGAAGGGTATTACTTAAAGGAGAGGCATGCAAATTAAAAATAAATGCTGTTCAATGTTACCAAATGAGCTAGTCACGTAAACACTCGCTTTGAGGTCTAAACCTTCCTACTGGGAACGTTCTTTCCGAAAGTTCATTCCTAGTCAGGAGACAACATTGTCCTTGACCACACCTGCCAAACCAGAACCCATCTTGTGAATGATGGGTCCAAAGCAATGTAAAGTAATTGCCGTGTGTTTATTTCTACTTAAAGTTGTTATTACTGTTGTTGCTGTTGTTAATATTCTTGTTGTTTTGTTTTCAAAGTCTTGCAGCAGAAAGGCAGTGCTACTCCTTAGAGCAATTTTGGATGGCTCAAAGACTAGAAAGTCTGTGTAGAATCTTAGCAATATGGCCAATATTCAAAATAGTGTTAGGAGATTCTAGGTCTCAGCCTCAAATGCAGAAAATTGCCTGATTTTGTTTTTCATGAGTATGGTGTGTACTAAGCCAAACAATACTCCATTAGTATTTGTTTGTGAGCAGCTGGCTTTCTATCTACTGCTCTCTTCTCCACGCGTAGATATAAGGCACATCAGTTACTGTGGAGTCCTTAAAAAAGAAGCTGAAACTATTTTATACTGTGGTGACCTGGGTATGAACTACACATTAGTTTTGGCTTCCACTTGTACGCTAGATGATTTGCACTACCATGTAATTTAGTCTCATGCCTCCCAGCAAGCAGCCTGTCTACTACAACCCTACCCTCTCCCACAATTTTAACTGCCCTAAAACTGTTGCACAGACAAATGGGAGCAGAAACAGAAACTTTGCATGATTGTCACCTGTTATTCTTTCTACATGTTTTTGCTGTTACATGAAGGAAAGTTAATACTTAGGATTTAATATCTTTGTGGTTTTACTGCAATTTTCACTGAGCTCCAGAAGTATCAAGCTATGACTGCTGGCCTGCCTGACCCACCCACTCTGAACCATTTTCTCAAATATTTCCACCTTTTCCAAAAAGGGGGAACAAGGAATTTGAGGGCTTGTCACTGAAACCACTGACTGTTGAAGATCTCTGCGGTCAGTGGAGCTCGGAGCCACAAATAATTGCAGTTACTGCTGCCTATGTAGTGGCTGTGGCACTAGCACAGTTCCTGAGAAAGAGAAAGGAAAAGAGAAAATAGATAATAAAAAGGGCATATAGAAATAACACGGAGCAAATGAAACTGAAATGCTTGACACAGGCAGCTTTATGGAAGAAAACAGGAAACTGTCAAATGCTGTGAGTGAAAATGGAAATACACTATTCAAGACCTTCACTTGCACTTCATATTCAGACAAATTCTCATTGGCTTCAGTAAAGCTTTCTTCTGATACTCAGTACAAGACTGGGCCTATAAGCACAGCCTGACTTACACAGAAAATTACTATATAAAAGACTGACTTGTTCATCTCTCTCTTTAGGATAGTAAGCAGTTGTAGGTACACATTTATTTCCTCACACAAGGAATTCTGGCTATAGCATGGAGACAAGGAAGATTCCCAGCACTGTTAGTCTTTTCTGCCCATACCTTGAAGAGAGATGAAGTAGATTAGTGTGTGACTAGAGTGCCCTGTCTCTACCTCCACTAAAGTGCTGGATCATCCCTCAGACTAATCAGCTGCTGCCCAAGGGATGCAGCAAGCTGCTTCTTGAGTGGTGAGGGATTATGACTCAGCACCACCAGCCACTGTGTTTGCTCATTACTCAGGACAAACTGCAAGACTGCAGTAAGTATTCCCCAATAAATACCGAAAGGTTTCCAGCTGAAACAAAGAGACTGTGTTGACTGAAACACCAGAATAAAGATACAATTCTTTGTCACATTCAGTGTCACTTAGTTAGGGCGATGTTTCCTGTATTCAGCAAACACGCCAGTAAAAGAATTTCTTGGCATACAGACAACATGGAAATGTCCTTTTAAAAATCAGTTAATACCAACAGAACTCATGAGCTAGCTGGAACCATTTCCTATGCTATGGAAAGAACACTCGAATAAGGTTAACCAAGACATTTCACCCTCCCAACCTCCCCCTCCCCATCTATTTCTGGATGTCTTCTTTTGTTCACCCTTTGCTAATTATAGTGGCCTCGCTTAGGTGATATTTATAGTCTTAAAAGAGTTGCCTGACTTTTAGAACACTTTATTCATGTATATTTCCTGTGTTTATTGTTGCCTTAACTAATTTTTTTAATTAAGTTTACTTGATCCAAGATTTTATTTAGCAACAAATATCAAAGTAACTTTTCTTTCAACAAATGCAAGAGCTGTATTTAGATGTAAAAAGCATTTTTCTATTTCTGAATTTCCGAAAACAGATTTTAGTTTCTTTCCCTCTCCGACTGATGGGTACAACAGACAATTCCAGAATTAAACAAAATGAATTTTTTTTTTTCACTGCAATATGAATATTGGTATTTTATTTTACTAATTTTTGGTATCCCTTTTTTTTGTCTGTAATGGTTGCATAACGATTGGGGTGTATCCAAGACATGGTGTTAAATATTTGTTTGCCCTGATGTTTTTCTAACCACCTATAACTGAACTTCCACCATTTGTTGGTGGAAAAGAGACACTGAGATAGTCTACATAAAATTATAGCCTCACTTTCCCATCTGCTCTGTATTTTATCTCCTTCTTAGTTTTCCTTAATTCCTTATCGCCTCGATTGTTTCTTCTGTAGTTTTTCTACAAACGTGCCTGTGGTGACACCAATTGGAACACATTTCAGTCCCTATTTCAAAATAGCAAATAAAGAACATTTTAAGGAAAAATTTGGTGAGTATCTTCCAACTCCACTGAAAGCAGCTGGATTTGGGGAAACGTTAAAGCAAAACTAACTGGCAGTCTGCCTTTCAGCACAAATGCTCTCTCCTCTCCTTGATGCTGCCACCCACTCGGACATGGACGGGCTGAGGTAAGGGCTGCACGTCTGCTGAGGACAGAACCGATTGCTGTGTCCCTGTCTCTGTTTTACACAGGAGCAGTGTGCCTGGCTGGGCTGGTGGGGGACAGAGCAGCCCATGCAACCCGCTCCTAAAGGAGACACAGGGAGGGAAGCGGCTCCTTTCCAGGGAAGGCAGCTGGAGCTCCACACGCCTGGAGCCCAGGGCTGAGTATCGACCCCGACACACCCCTGCCCTGCCCTGCCCTGCCCTGCCCTGCCCTGCCCTGCCTCGGGACTCGAGCGCGGACCCCCGGGCGGCAGAGCGGCTCCTGGCGCGGCACCTCGGGTTGGAGCCCGGACCCCTTTTACGTGGCCAGGAGTCAGCCTCGGGAGAAAGAACGCGTGAGAGGAGCAAAGCCGTGGCCCTTGACTTTGCCACTTTTTTCGGGGTTTCTCATATGTTATTTGCTGACGCCCTGCGCTGGGCACAGCCCCTCAGCTGCAAGCCCCAACACCCCTAATGGTCCCACCTGGGCCCCACCCACGGCACCATTCAGGCTCCAGCGATGCCCCCCCTGAGCTCCCTCACTGCCTGTGTCTGCCCTTGCCTCGTCCTTTCAAATCCTGCCTTGCCCTTGGGGCTCTCAAGGGCCTCTCTGAGGGTGATGGAGTGGGATGGTCCTGGCAGCATCCCCAAGACCAGCCCTGGTTCGGGTGGGAAGTGGCAGCCCCTGCCCCTCAGTCGCGCTGAGGTGATGGGGCTGTGATACCCAGTGGTTTCTATAGCACAGGTAGAGTAAATGTTTAAAATCAATTCTGTAATGTGGTATAAGAAGGTGTGTTGTGATTTAGCTGAACAAAACTGTGCTTTTTATTCCCAGTTGAAATGGTTGCAGACTTGATAATTAAGAGACTTCTTTTAGAAAAAAACCAAATATATCAGGGAATGGTTAAAGGCTGCCCTAAAAATAGTGGTTGTGCTCCAGCTTGCTTTTAACTGTTCTTTCCAGCCAGGTGTGGGAGAAGTGGGAAGGAGTCAATAGCTATGTTACATGTCACTTTACGCAAAGATCTGCACTGCACTCATTTATTTGAGTACCCTATTTTGGACGTGGCCACTGGCTTCACGTTGGCTGTAATGGAGTTCAAATCAAATGGTTATAATTGATTTGAGTATTTCGTGAATTGTGCTCAGGTTTAAATTAATTTTTGAAATATTATTTCCTCTTGTACTAAGTTTTTGGCTAGCATAAAATGACACACTTCCCTGGCAATTGATGGGTTATTCTATTTTACAAGTCTGAAAATCTACTTGTTAGTGCATACTGGCCAAAGTATGGAGTACAGAGATACCAGACAGATGTTTAAGAGCAGTCTGCCTCTTGGTTTTACTGCCTCTATTTGAAACTCCATTTTATAATAACTTTG